AAGCCGCCTCTGTGAAGGCGCGGAGGTGAAGCCGCCTCGGCGGTGTGGCTCATCGAGAAGCGACACGTCGCAGGATCTTGGTCGAGTCGTGCCATCACAGCGACCACGATGGACCTCAGGAGAGACGCAGACGACTGGCAGGACCGGAATTGCATGCAGTCGCCAACAGCAGATGAAGAGGCTTTTGGGGGGACAAATCGGCTCAACTTCGGCACTGTCCGCTGTTTAAGGACGGGTCCTCACTGCCCGGTCGGAACTACCGGGCAGCTCACGTGTGTTCTGATCTGCCAAGGCTTGCGGCTTGCGAGAAAATCGACTGACAATCGCGAAAACATGCGCAGAACTGGTTTGCCAATGTTTGCCAGAGATCTGACGAGAGAGCCAGAATTCTTTCGAGCTGACCTCTATCAAAACAACAAAAAACTGCGATATCAGCATTTCTAATGAAGTCCATCAGATTCGTTTGTTTACAAAATGATTGACGTCTTCTTTTATGGTCGTCAACCTCTCCAGTCTTTTTCGCAGGAGCAGACGGCAAACGGCAACAAGTTACCAATAGAAATGCCAGGAGCTACTAGTAGCTTCTTGCTCCTAGTAGCGACGCCCTTTGTTACTAGTAGCAAGGGGGAAAAAGGCGTTCAAGGAGAGGCGACTTGACATCAGCCCATACGATCGCGCTGTGAGCTTGATTGACAGTGGCGCACACCATCCATGGCTAGTTGGGAATCTCGCCTGCAGCGGTTCCTTAACAGGTCTTATTGTTTCCAAGAAGTGTTGTCACATAACCAGTTTACACCTTCCATTTTAGGTCAAACGTGGTGTTTCCTGTCGCCAAAGAACTGTGGGATTCCCGGAAGACGGAAGGGCCCTCGTTGTGTCCGTCTTCCGAAGACGGAAGACCGTCGCTGGAGGTCGGTGCAGTCTTGACCACGGTCGGTGCCGTTGCTGAACGGAGAGGCGAAGCCGATGTTCAGCGAAGCCGATGTTCGGCGTGCTTGCTCGAAAGGCTAAGCGTTCTTGCTCCCATGGCCACAAAAGGCGATAGAGTTCTTTGCTGAGTCTCGATAGGCTACGGCTATGGGGTCCCAAGATTTCAAAGGTGAACTTCTGCAAAAAGATGCAACAAGTACCACTGCAATCGAACCGTGCACGCAACCCAAAGGTTGCATAAATACGACCAAAAAGGGATGTGACAGCCCTGACCGCCCTTAAGCTGCCTTCCGTCAATCCTTCAGTCCGAAGTGTTGATCCTTTGAGAACTTCGTTTAGGCTTTGATGGTTTGACACGGTCGGCCCTGTTCCGCTTGAACCCATGCGACGCAGAGCCCACCAATTGGAGAGCAGCACCTTGGATTTAGGAGCTGGTTTCGCCTCTGATCACGCATTTTGCTGCGTTTCACATCGAGCCAGGGAACTGGATGATTGAATACTTTCGGGCTAAAGGGACCATTGTGGATCGTTGACCATGAATTCTTCAAAGGTCATCTTCCGACCTCTCAAAAGTCCAACCTCACACCGGGTCGCGCCGAACCGGTCGCTGCGTCGGTCATCCGCCCGGTCCCAGTGGAGCGCTCCACGTCGTGCGGCGCGGACGAGGGGAGGGCGCTCCGTGGTGGGCGTGGCGGTTAGCTACTAGTAGCGTCCTTGTTCCTAGTTAGCGATTTAGATGGAAGGTATGACCAGCGACTTCCTGGCTTGTCCTTATCGATAGACTACACCTGGTGTGTGTCAGAACCCATGCACTTGAGCGTGGGCACGCGCCGAGAAAAACCTTTGAGCTGTGACATTGGCCAGCGTCAGTTGTGCAAATTGACCCGGAACTTGGGCTTTCATGTATGTTGGGTCAATCGATTGCACAAAATAGGGGGCATCATTCAGGTTCTGAAAAGAGAATGTGACTGGGAGTGCCTCTACAGCTGTGCCACGAACCTTGTCAAATGCGTGGAAGGTTCTTCGAAGTTCTGATATATTATGCCGCCACCGAGACACAGCGGGCACGGGGAATTTTAGTTGAAGCAGTTACCTGACGCAATTGAAAAGAAGTTGAAACTGGTCAAGACCCTGAAACAAAGACAAGGGCCTTCCAAGGTGCCTCCAGTGGCTCCTGCCTCCTTCTCGCCCACACGTGGTCTTGAAAAATGAAGCCAGGCCGCCCTAAATCGCCCCACCAGGCCGAAGTCAAGACAAAGGAAAGGCCCGGGGTCACTCTTGCGCAAGCCAGGTGGATGTGGCTTGGCGCTCAAAAACCAGGCTTTTTCACCGGTCGATTCGATGCCAAGGGAAGCGTCAACATCGTCGATTTCACTGCACCGGACCGTCCGAAAGACAGACGAAGTCTAACGGGTGCTTCGTTTTGCTTTGCGCTCCTTCTTCTGAGGCTTTGAGGACAGGATTCTTGAAGGATGCGGACGAGGATCCGTGAGGGGTAGGCGAGGCCCTGGCCATCCGAGACGACCGATTTGTAGCGGATGACCGCATGGCAGACTGCGGTCGGCCACAAGGAGGTCATCACCTGCTACCTACCGACGCAATCTTCACTCAAGGACTTGGACAGGCAACACAGAATTGAGGTCACTGTCCTGCTCTCAGCTGGCACAGAACACACAAGAATTTGAAGTGTTGAACTTGTTGAACTCCAAAAGCCTTACAAACGGTGCCGAGCATCTCCCTGCAGTTGAGGCAACATTAGTTCCCATATGAGATAGTGAGAAATTCGTGAATAGCTGATAGATCGCTTTTGATGCCCTTGTTTGCCCTGCTCTTGACACTCTCTGCCAGCTCTCTGCTTTCCGAAACGCTCGTGCAGCCGGGACAAATGATTTGTTTATCCTCCGTCTCCAAGAAAGCTGGCACTATGACGGTCTCAATGCCAGCTTCTGAGACCGCAAGTCAGAGAAAACTTTGACCGCAATTCCGGTAGTCCAAGAAGACAGACCATAGCTCTCTGTACGCCAGGCAGGGCCTTTTGCCCCAGCCCGGCCAGGCGCTACCTTCACAAGCCACCCACTTGTTCTGTCCGGTCAAAACTGGCCATCAATAGACAAGCGAGTGTGCACAGGCACAGCTTCATTCTCGCACGTTCAACAAATTTGAACCTTTCTTCTCGTTCAGCATTGGTGGGAGGACAAACTGCCTCACGCAAATGCGAGAGCGGAAACCTAGCCTTGGGGGGGAGCTTTTTGTTGGCGTCCAAACGAAATGGCCGCGCATGAAATGGCTGAAGCAGCGAGTCTGAAGATCTAAAACAGCTGGAGCAGCACGGACTGGTTGATGGCACTGGATTTAAGGCTTCGTTCAAAGCGATCAGTGATGGTGCTGCACACAGAAAAGCACCTGGAACTCACTGAAGCTGTCAAGGGCATCACCTTGAGTTTCCAGACCAAATGATGTTGCAACCAAAAAGTTTTGTGTAGTTCTGAATCAACCCAACTTTGCCAGATGTCCAACGTGGTGCTAACTGCCAAGCACTGGCAAAAAGCTCTTCACGCGCCTCACCTGAGTCTCAACTGTTTCAGGGCGGTCTCAATCCCCTGCAGTGCCTGTGATGCTTCAACTTGCAGCTGGAGCAAAAAACATCGAGTTCGATGCGTCGTGGTAAGTTCCGGGAGGTTGGGGCATCAAAAGGCTTCGCCCAAGGGTCATTCAGAAAACAAGGGCAAGGCATATGATCCCGTCAAAGCAGTTGGGGATCCTCTTCCGCTTGGCTCAAGGCTCCAAGAGGAAAGCGCACAAAAAAGGCCTCGTCAGGAGAGTTTCACCGGACCAAGCATGCCGCGGTTGGGAGCAATGCGGAGGGTATGCGCACCCTCGGTGTCATAGCAACACAGCTTGTGAAGCAAAGCCAGACAATGTGGAAAATGTGTGTAAAAAAGCTGCCAAGAATAGAAGTCATGAGTCATGCTTTCTGATTTGTTCTTATTTGCCAGTTGAAGAATACCATGCTGTTGGATAGGTTAAAATATATCAGAACCTATCACTGCTCTCAGGAATCTTGTCCATCAGATGAAATGGCTGCTGACATGCAGTTGAAACGATATCAAACGCTGTTCTCATGCAGAATCGTAATCTCATTGCCATGCCCCGGGAGCAACGGATCGCTCGTGACGATGGAGTGAGTTACGTCATCGTCACGTGGAGTGAGTGAGTGAAAACCACCTGTTTGGTATGTGTTCGGAACAGGTTTTTTTTGGGGGGGGAGAGCAATCACCCTTAAAGGACGTCCCCTGAAGAACTTCTCTAAGCTGACCAAGCCTAATGAAGTAAAACAGCAGACACATATATGTATATTACATTGTATATCTATGAATGAAAGCTTGTTATAGCACACAAACACTCAATTGTTTGCCCACATCTCACATCAGCCCAAGATCTAGGCTGAGAGACTCCTCTCAGCAGCTTGACATCCGCCGAGCAGGCCGGTCAGACCTCTGATAGATGAGTCTTCTGTCTGAGTCGGTGATCTTTTCAGCGACTGCGGTGGCTGTGCCTTGAACCACGCTTTGAAGAGTTCTTTGCTGTTCGAGCTCCTAGTTTTGCGGACCGGGTCAATCATGCCTTTCTGTCAATTTTGAAAGAGGTGATCAAGGACCTGCTCTCTCTCTCTCTCTCTCCAAAAGACTACAGGGCTATAGGGAGTCTTACTTTCTTAGAGCCAGGTTGTCATGGCAACTTTTCTTGTGCGTGGGTTCTTGTGCTTAAGATTGTGCCTTTGGTTCTCGTGGTCACCACTTCTAAAGATTGCTCCTCTTAGAGCATACCGGAGTGTACCAGATCAACAGAAAGTACTGGAATTTGTTTGACAGTTTGATTAAAGTCCAACACGAAGTTGCGGTCTTCTGCTCTCGAAGAAGTCCAAGGTGTCATAATCTGTGCCACAAAGTCCAAGGTTTGTCTTCCTTTTCCATCCTTTTCCTTTCATCGCTCCCGTCTTCCGGTCCTACGATGGAGCTGCTTGCTTCTGGAGATTGCAGGACAGGCGATGGAGCTCCGGCTCAAGCAGGTCAAGACGTCGGAGAGCGCATTTCAGCACAGCACATGACACGCTGGGAGAGGCGAAGGACGCACAGGTTTGGGCGAAAAAAGAAATGGCTTGGACGCCACGGCTCGCCTCCCTCGAAATCAAGGGCCCCCAAAAAAGCACACGGAGTTTCCGCAGTTAACAGTTGTGAAATGATACCGTACTTTCTTCCGTTTCGACTGACAACACCTCTGTGAGTCACGATGAGAAGGACAGTCAGAGCCGAGGAGGCATCTCGACGCAAAGAGTGCGCCTTGCCTTTCACCATGAACAACTGTCCTGGTTTCCATTGCAGCATCTTTAGAGTAGAGCATTGATACAAAGGCAGTGCACCCAGAACAAAACACTCCTTTGACATGAAGCGGACGTGCTCGAAAATTCCGTTGACCTGAGTGCCACTGCCACAAAACCCGACCAGCCCAAGTCGCAACCCATCTGGAACCATCAGTCCGCCCTGTGTGTTTTTGTACCAAAGATGTTTCTTGTTTTAGAAGAACTGGTGAACTGGTGTCATCACCACAGTGTGTTGGAAGAGGAAACCATGGCGTGTGGTGTGTTCTAGAAGTCTGCATACAAGCCATGGTGTGTCTATTGACACATACATATATCTAACGATGCCAGCGGCGCATTGAATGGATTCCCAGCCAGCGAGACTGTGGAAGCGAAATCATGATGCCGATCAATGGGCAAAACTGAACGACGGATGCTGCAGGTCCTCTTCCGCTTTGCCCCACATCGGCGCAAAGCGTGGCAGCAGTTCAGAAGCAAGGTTGGCAGCTAAATAATTGCCCAAAATATTGTCTCAACTGCAACAAGATCTTCATGATAACAAACATGTCACGTCTGATGTAGAAGAGAAACACGTGAAAATAGGTTCCTGCATAAGATCTGCTATTAAACAAGTGAAAGATCAAAAGTGAACTTGCCATTACACTCATGCTTTGAAGAAATATACTAGAGCCAAACTGCAAACCTCCGCAGTTGCCATCCAGCATGTTGGCCGATTCAATGAGTTGATCGTTTGGACGTGTTCAAACATCACACACAATCACTTGAGAAACACACAAAAGTACACGGTGAAGCTTTGTAACTTAGATAAATTGAAAGTGACCAAGAAAACAAAGCAACACAAGTAGATGTGTCACTTCCCAAAAAGCCAACACAACTCCACAAACGTCAAAAAGAAGGAGATAACGAATACACGAGCCCTGCCCCACCTGAAGCACCTGCCCAGAGCAACTGGCCACCTTCGTGATACCCCAGCGACGATGCTGTGGCAGCACTTTGCTCAAGATGAAGTTCATCACCAACCAGGACACGGCCGCTGGGAAGAAGACCACGCTCACCTGGCACGAGAACCGCTGCGACGCCTTGCGACGCCGCCAATCACAGCCCGGGTAGCCTGGGTAGCTATTGTATGCTTATTGTGCGCATGTGACCTCGCTGGTCCTTTGAAGCTCGGACGAAAACAACGTCTTGTTGCTCAAACTGTCATCTGACGTGCCCGGTGAAAGCTGCGGAAGGAGCAAAAGGAGGCATATCGAACTGTTTGAATCAAATTGTTTTCCAGCTCTGACGCTTAGGTAGCTACGGGTTCCGAGCCATGTGGGATGGTCCTCACGTGTTCTCACCATTTCACTGGACTCACCACGCAAAGGTGCCCATTGTGGGTTCTGGACGAACAAAAATATCCGCATTCCTAGCTACACCGGGTCATGTGGAAAAAGAACTGAGCTGCACTAGGCCACTAGGCAGCAAAAGACGGAAGGTGTTTGTCATCAGAACAGGCTCTAACCAAGCTCCAAAAACCCACAGACAACAAATCAAAAGGATTGGACAAGGAGGTGCTTGTGAGTCTTCTCTTACCATCACATCAGGTTCCACCCCATTGGACGTTTCTTCACCATCACATCCCAAAACTGCATCCAGCGGACGATGTAGCGAAAGCTCGTTTCAGCGCCGGCGAAGCAGGCAAAACCGAAGCTGTCGAGGTCCAACAAGAGAACCTGCGAAGGAAGGCGGTCCCACCCCCTCTGCCAAAGCCATGGGACCACAGTTTAGATCACCAGCAGAGCTGCACAAGGCATCTCCGCGGAAATGTCCATATCAAGAAAAAATAGGAAAAGCGCAAACTGATTGAACTCTTTGGATCTACTTTACTTTACTCTATTTTCGTTCTAATTCTACCAAACAAGTACGCTGCTCTCCTCCACGCTACTACCTACTCTCTGCCACTCCAGTTACTCTCAACTTCCGCCAGCGCAGCCCTAGCAGCTAGCACAGCCATTATAGTACAATGAGAGAAACAGCTCCCAAGACAGGACGAAACCTCACGTTATTCGAGCATGCAAACGCAAAACGCTTTTGGCAAGCTGAGCCGCAATTTCAAACATGCACGGTGACCGTCGCCTGCCACGATGACTTTTCAGCCCTCAAAGCAACACATTGTGAAAACTCACTTTATGCGAGCTGGCACACGCGAAACACACTCCCATTTACTGCACGCACGTTTCCAAGCATGAACCGATCACGGTCACGGACCACACCTGCCGCAAACACCACAATCCTAGACTGACATGAGCGGAGAACGGTTCTTGTGAAAACGTGGCATCGGGCGGAAATCCTCACTATCAAAATTGCATGACGCCTCACGCCTGCCACGAAAAGTCGACTTTAACTACTCATGCTCTCTCTCTACTCTCTCTCTCTCTACTCTACTCTACTCTCTCTCTCTCTCTACTCTACTCTCTCTCTCTCTCTCTACTCTCTCTCTCTCTCTCTACTCTCTCTCTACTCTCTCTCTCTCTCTACTCTCTCTCTCTACTCTCTCTCTCTCTCTCTACTCTCTCTCTCTCTCTCTTTTTTCTCTCTATATACTCTCTCTCTCTCTACTCTCTCTCTCTCTCTCTCTACTCTCTACTCTCTCTCTCTCTCTCTCTACTCTCTCTCTCTCTCTCTCTCTACTCTACTCTCTCTACTCTCTCTCTCTCTCTCTACTCTCTCTCTCTCTCTCTCTCTACTCTCTCTCTCTCTCACCATCTCTCTCTACCATCTCTCTCTACTCTCTTATCTCTGCTCGCTAAGTCTACCCCCCCAATCTCTCCCCGCTCTTTGATGCATTTGTCCGTAACTCCGAAGTTCTTTTTGCACAGTAAACTTCCTCTGTTGAGAGCAATCACCGCAAGAATGTGCGGACTTGCTATCGCCAATCATGGGGACTGCCCTCAGTGGGTTCTGGTCACCCATGGTGCAAAGGAACTCCACTCCACAGCAGGATCTGAGTCGCCTGGAAGTAGGAGAAGAAACCCTTGAGATCCACGGGCCACTCAACCGTCATCATGCCAATGATCCCAACACTCTGGAGGAGGGACACCAGCATGCCAAACGCACAGGTCGTAGTGAACAGCACGGAAGCCTTGCGGCACTGAAGTTTCCGAATATGTGATATGAACTTAAACCATGAAATATCATGCGATGCCCTTGTTACTACTATTTGGTACAGTAATGTCCTTGTTACTAGTAGCAAAACCCTGAAATACCACGAATACTAACTGACATAAGAAAAGAACACATCCATGGCTATGAGCGCAAAAGATTGTCCTCTCTCGCACAAGAATCTTATACCTCTTATCACTTCTTCACCTCCATTCACGACCAACATAACTATATATATATAAACTTAACAGAACATGATCTGTTTGGATAATTAGATGCCTCTGTCACGACACGAAGGAATCTAAAGTGCCGTGACACGCAGGAAGTCTCTCAAACGACACAGAAACTCCAAACATCCAACCAGCGACCTGACCTTAGCCGTCACCTTTGAAGTCATCAAATAATAGGATGCCGTAAGGAAAAGGAAGACTCCCACCACGCTGATGCCCTAAGCAAGCAAGTGGGGAAGGAAGCAGTGTTTCACTTGTTCCGACGATGTTTTCACCGTATATACATCTTTATGTTCGGCTCAGTCCCCGACCCAAAGGATTTGCCTCCATGCTTCACATTCCATGCATTGTCCTTCGCTCCATGTCTTACCTGCTCTGGTGGACGCTGGATAGAGTGCGCAAATGAACACTAATAACTGCAAGGCTCGATAGATTTCGAGGAACTTCTCAAGTTTCATTACCACTTCTTCGCTGAACTCAACCCCAAGACTCAAAACAAGCTTCTGCTCGAGCCTTGTGGACACTCAGCACATGGCACTCCAGCGCGACCACCTGCACAAGAGTCTGGGACGCCACCTGGGCAGTGCCAGGTCTTGCCACACTTGTAGACCTCCCAGGGTTGATGTGAATCGTACTGGACACATTGAAAACAAGGCTACCCCGTCAGATGACCGCACTTCCCAAAAGTGCGTCCTCTGGAACCTGCTTTCCACATGCGCGTACTGATGTAGGAGGGGGCCCAAGAGCAACATGTTATTGTCATTTGCGATGGTTTCTTCACTCTTCCAGCAAACTTCTGCAATCTCCAAGGCGCTGTAAGCCCCCTTGCTCGGGGCAAGAAGTAATGCTTCTCGCACGTACTACATTGTGCTTGCAACTGGGTGTGGTGTCCTAAGCGCTTTGTCAGCGCAACAACCCTCTTTTAGACCACAAAATGAAAACAAGAGTTCATGTCTTGGTTGGTGGCCTGCTGAATCCCTCTGAAGTGAAGCCTATAGTGTTTTCTTGTTTTTGCCGGATCACTATTTGCCGCGTCATCCCTTCCAACCCAAACCTTCAAGGGCTCAGCTGCCGTGGTGTAGTAGCCTGCATCCACAATAGGCAAGTACTTCGTGCCCAAAGGATGCACGCCTGTCTCATAACCTGGGCATTCTGCCAAGAAACGACTGGATCGAAGTCGAACAAGGAATTGCATGTATTGGCGCCAACCCCGTGGCTCTGGGTTTTTGATTGACACCTCTCCAAGAAACTCTCCAGTGTCCCCATGGCGGGACAAGTCAAGCCAACGCTGCAAACCTCGCACGTCAGACCTGCCAAGGCATCAACTGGCCCTTCACCAACCACCACAGTAATACATCAAGGCGGTCTTGGAATTTAGGCGAAGATCGTTCCGTTTCGCAGCGTGGGTTCATGAAAGGTGCAACCACTGGTCATGAAAACAGAACAATTTTCTTTCAACTCGGCACTTCGCACTTCTGGACATCGCCGGATCAAGCGCTCTCATAACATGTTCCGTTTGCGGACACGTTTCCTGAGCGAACGCCTGCAGGCGCAACGTCAATGCGACCCTCAACGCAGCCGCAATCGGTGAACGCCACGGATCCCAAGCCCAGCGTGCTGCTTCCATCCGGGCACCTGAGGGACCGGCGGTATCTAGTCCCAAGTATTGTGAGATGTTTCTTGGCATCACGGCGACTGCCTCAACTTACAAGTTGCAAGTATCAAAACGGACCCGATGCATAATAAATGACGGCGTGAAAGTTTGCACCCCTTACAGTTTTGTTGGGGTACATCTGTGGCACATACTACATTGGTCTTGACCATATTTTGTCGCCACGCAATACATGAAGAGCAAGCCGTGTACTTCATGGTTTTCGCGCTCTCCATGATGTTGCTGCATAGTACATCAATGCGCGCACCTTCCGCACCTTCTCCATGTGTTGCGATAATGAATTTTGTGTGCGTGGGCCCCTTTTATACATCTCTTAAAGTCCATGGTTTTTGTTGCGGGTCCCTAAGTGGCACTTTTTTCTGGTAAGGCTGTGTATTTACGCAATTTTACGCAAGGCGATCACTTCGGTGTAACATTTGCCGCTACATCAACCAAGCCTCAAAATGACCCAACATGACCCCACCAAAAAGCCCCAACATGGCCTCAATATACCGCATAGCCTCAACATCACCAAAGAGCCTTACCACGCACATTTCTTGTGGGGCCCTACATTGCTGACGCAATCTAAGCAATTCTTCTCTGTGGGGATCGAAATTGCACCTTTAGCGTCCTTTAGCGAAGTTCGGCACAATCCCTCTGCTGCAATGCCACCTGCAAAACAATTCGCTCAATTCTACCGCTATGCGCATGAAACCCTTCTACCGAAGGCCAATTGCAAACACAAACCGGGACCCGCAAAACAACCGCTATACCTTCTGCACATCAAAAACATTTCCACACGCGTATGGCCAACAACTCCCTGCGCGGTTCCAGCGCTTGCCGTCATCTGAAGACAAGAGGCGCAATGCATTGGGCTTGACCCTCTTGATCCTGATAGGTGCCCAGGGGACAACGCTTGCAGCTTTGGCTTCCCAGCTCGTCTTGGTATGTGCCCTTGTCACAGGGCTCACACTTGAGCGAGGCTCCCGAAGCCTGGCTGGTGCCCAAGGGGCATGCGGAACAGATGTAGGTCACGCCGATGGAGTCCACCAAGCGCTCAGAAAAGGTACCGCTGGGGCAAGCTTGGCACCTGACCGAATTTTGTGACATTGGCACACATTTTTTGGCATCTGACCTGACAAACGTTTTAAAGAAAAACAGTTGGAGTATGGTGTATCTCCGAGCCAACTTCCTCCCCTTTGCGTCCACAAAGAAGAATGTGTTCGATGGTTCCATCCCAGCCCGCACCTTTTGCCCTCGCGAACAGTTCTATCCATTGCAAGCTCTCCAGACTCGATGTCAACGAGCCCAAAGCCCGCAAAACAAGTGGTATCATCTGGTAACCATGATTCCCACGTGGCTTTGTTGCCTTGGAGCCATCGGCAGGTGACATCGTCCCAGGAATCTCCTGATCTAGAAAGCTTGCTGAACTTCGCTGAACCCAAAAAGACAAGTCAGATTAGGACTCCGCAAGCATCAAAACGCATCAAACAACACAAACTGTGCTCCACTAACGAACTCCTGTGTTCTTCTGGTCCAGCATGATTGCATTGATCATGGCCATGCTGATTTCCATGTTCACCAGAAAATTCTCCACTCTGGGAGCGAGTGACAACAAGTCTTTGCTGACGCCTTTGGTGAGTCTGATGGTGCTCGGAGCTGTTTTTAAATCTCCATTGGCATGGCCAACCCTGTCATGCGGTGGGAAAATCACCTCAACTGGCGCCAGCTCCAGGAAAGTTGGATCTGGCTCCCACCAATAGAAAAGGCTCCGGTGAGCCACTGGCATTGCAGCAAAATCCCCCCATGTGTTGGCAATTGCCATAGCAATCGGCATGTTCCAAGCAGTTGCTTGCTGCATGATCAGGTGAACGCTCCAACCAGCACCGCCTGTGAAGAAGATCACGCACTTGAAGGTCTCGTTACGACAACTTGGCGCCCTCCAAAAGTACTCATCAGGACACGAACCCACAACCTGGGCCAAAGGCGGCTTCATATTGTCTCCTACATGACTACGTCAAATCGACATATCTTGAAAAATTATTCCATTCATCCTGTTCGGCTCCAGATGTTACAGCCAAACAATCTGAAACCTACAATGTTGCTACCTGCATTTTGGCATGCTAGACAATCTTGGCCGTTTACGCACCCAAAAAACATGCTTTCATGGCCGTCACCTCAAGGAAAGGATCAAGAACTGAACAAGCCTGTCGAGAACACACGGAAACATCTCTTGCATCTGGCGCTCCACCTTTGATGTTCATAAAATATGATCAAAAATGTGGTCAACGCAGTCCGTGGAGCTCGGGAGAAGCTTGAACATATTCGCAACCCCCCTTCGCAACCCCTCAAAGCATGTTTGCTGCGCTGCTGCGCCGCTGCGCCCTATCTTCATATCTATTCTGGCTTGAGCCCCGGCACTGCACCATCAATGATCTGCACTCCAGCACTATCACCCGTTTGCGCCAGGTAGTTCCGCATCAAGCTATCCGAGAAGATTTGTGTCTCGCTGCACTTCTTGAGGAACCTGGTCGCATTGACCTTGGCGGCGGTGAGGAAAGTAGAAACGCTGCAGAATATGCAGTATGTACGCCGAGACCCACCCATTGCACCATGTTTGGGGCCTAACGTGCATTGCTTAACTTGCTATCCGATCCAACTTGCCTGGTTAACTTGCATTGTTTCTCTTGCAATGCCTTACTTGCACTGCAAACTTGCACTACCTAGCTTGCGCAGCAATTTAGCTCATTCACCTCGAGTCTAACTTGCATTCTTACTGAACACTGGTTTCTCACAAAACTGTCTTTCTGTGTATTCGGGCCCTTCTTCATCTCGTTCTATCCGCTCCATAGTCACCATTTGCAACACAGTTTTCCCCATCACACTTTGATTCATCGTCTTGAACCGCAAAACAAATATCTCACAACTACTGTTCCATGGATGTGGTCTTGCTTGACACCAAATTTACCCTCTAGGTAGCTGCATTCGTAGCCAAGTCAACTCAAGAATTCTGTAAAGCAAAAACGCCCCAAGGTACCGAGGAGGTGTTGTCAAAATAAAGCCATGGCTTCCACCAGTTGGCATTGTATGAGGTGTAGAACTTCAAAGGCAACCCTTCAGATTCGGCCACGGACTCTTGCCTGGCACCCGGAAAGAACGCAAGTGTTCAAAAGGACGCGGAACCAACGCGGACTTGTTGATGCTTGAATCAAAAGCAAAGCAAACTGAATACGGTGCAAAAACACCAAAAAGGCAAACGAAAAAGGTTGAAATAGAGGAGCACAAGCGAAAAAGCCACAAAACAAAGCAGTGCAAGCGACCCGTGAAATCAATCAACAGAAAAAAGCAGGGACAAAAGCAGCAAAGGCTCATTTTGACACCGACATTGCAAAAACACAAAACAGTACAAAACAACAGAAGCAACAAACCGTCAACAAAAAGAAAACAGACCCAGAACTATTGCACGAGAAAACGGTCCTTTTCAGCGCCAAATTGCACGCTTTTCAGCAGGTACGTGGAGGTTTTTCCATCATAGCCCATGGACGTCAACGCCTTGGGCGCCATGGCCTTGTTCTTCTGCAGATCGGCCCAGAGCGATGGATAAGCTTCCCACATTTCCATGGTGATGTGATTGTAGGTCACCTCGCAAACGAAAACAGGCCGCGAAACGAACGAAGTAGGTCCCTCCCAATCCGGAACGTTGATGTTTCAAGAGTTGTCGCCGTTGACGTTTGGAGCTGCTCAGGATTCGGATCGAGCCCGGTGGCCCTCCTGTGATAGTGGCTTGATGACTTTGGTTGTTTCGTAGTGGTGTTTCCTACCAGCAACTGAAGGATTTGACAGGGCCCATCAGGTGGAACATCTCTCTATAGCAAAGTAACTGACGTTTGCCTTGGGCACTGCAAACCAGAGTGCCTCGTTGCTCGCAGCCTTGTATCTGGGTGCGTATTGAAAATGTGAAAAGTTGCAGCATCGGTGTCTTGAAGGGTCGTTCATCGAAATTCTTACCCCATCGCTTCTAGGTTGGAGACCATCGCTTCTAGGTTGGAGGCCATCGTTACTAGGATGGAGGCCATCGCTAGACCCTTGGTTGTAGCGAGAAAACACCAGCGTTTGGGTGCCATGTTCAGGAGTTTTGGGCCACAGTTCCCATTGGTGGAGCGTTTGGGTAGCGGCAGCATTTTAATTTTAGCCTTTATCCAAATGGCAGGGCAGAAGGCCGAGGCGATGAAGAGCATGATGATGGGGCCACAGAAGATTTTAGAAGAGTAGTTGGGGCATTATATAGTACTTCTGATTGATGTGACAATCACTTCGGGGATTCCAGGACTACCAAACCAGGAGCATCACCAAGCAGGCCGGGGCAGCTTAGGTGAGTGCACTCTGGGCGAAGGTATGGAGTGTATCTCCTGCCTCGCTGTTGCAGGGCTCTTGGGGCGGGAATCGTGTTGCGCACAAATATGCCCATTTTGCAAATACAATCAAGTTCTACCCAAGCTACTCAAGCAATGGTTCTTCGGATTAGTTCTTGGCAATTGGCCGCTCGCAACTAGCCCCCGCCTCCTATGACCTGCCCAGCTAACCGCATTGACCACTCGTCTCCATCATGGAAGTGCATGTGGCGGTATCGGATGGTGATGTAAGGAATGTAACTTGCATCTTTTGCGCTTTGGTTGTAGGGACATGTTTGGGCTCTGGGTGGACTTGAGGGGTGCGACCTATCTTGAGAAAATGTGACTGGGTGATAATGAATGCTCAGATGAATTCAGGTATATAAGGGGGTTATGGTCCGAGCAGCGGAGAGAGTGCATCATGAACACAAGACTTGCCGGTTCTTCTTGGAGCGAGGAGACGAAGGCGGAGACAAGGGCAATGGAAAAAAGAAAAGGGTGATGGACTACATAGGCCTCAAAATGGTGATGTTGGAGTGATCATATACAACATCGTGGAGATAGTCAAGATGCTGTAAACTGGGAGTTTCGCAAACGACCAAAGCTAAAGCTCAACTTTCAAGCCAGTTGCCAGGCGCAGCACCTTGTTGCATGCAAAGCAGCCAAAAATGAAGACGCTTTCCAAGGTAGTTTACCTTTCTCCAAGCTCTTTAACGATGGCATTGCCCTGCGTGGCTCAGTCGTTTCAGACCACAGCTCTGCGAACAAAAGCAGGCTGTTGTGACTCTACGATACCCTTGGAAAATCTGGGGCTGTAAACACGATGATGCACACCAATCCGGGAGTGTACCAGCTTTGGCTCAAGAAGACGCTCAATTCTAGTTTTTGTTCCTTCCCTTTCCACGCCGTGGTTGGCTTTGTGCGTTGCTTTGATCTCATGTCATGTGTCCTTTGCAAGTCCCTTTTGTTGATTTTTTCCTTGTTAATTCCAGTTCAATCCCATTCCTATTCTGTTTCCGTTCTTTCGTGTCATGTTCATTTCTTGCAATCTTCTTGTCATGCCTTGTTGCTTCACGGTCTTTTCTTGCGTATTCGGTTATTTTGATCGTCCGTTCATATGTGCTCATTTGTTGCCTTTGGCGCGCTTTTCCTTGCGCAGCTTCTGTTGGCCACTTTCCACCTAACTTTAGGTAAAATGAAAAGGTAAAAAATCGCAAGATAAAGGAAAATACGCAAATCCTATGTAAGGCAAAAACGGAAACATATGATATGTGTCTTTTTCAGCAGCATCATGTGTATGAGGAAAACAATTTGTCAGGCATGTACAGCTCAGCTGGTGGCCTGCACAGCTCTACCATAAAGCTACATTTACAGGCCTACATTCGTGCATCCAATCCAGGTTTGATAGCGCCTCATGTCGGTTCGCTACTTGCGCGCCATGTCTCGAGTTGGTGAGGAAATTGGAATCTACAACTCCAGAACACATCACCAAAATGGAAAAGAGTGGAACGAAAAGAGCAAAACATATGTTGTGAAGATTGGTATACACCGTGACTCATGAAGGTTGGTATACATATACATGTTTCTACATGCTTCAGATTCTCTCAGTATGAAAGCTACGGCTCATAAGCGTAGTTCGCACTGTTTCAAGCCTGGCCTTCGCGTCGCAGCCACGCTCCTCTGCAGTCGTGGCGGTGGGGTTGCGACAGCCACTAATCGCATACATGCCGTGAGTCGTGCTGCCGCCTGGCCCATTGTAGCTCACATTGTAGCCCAGCATCTCCTCACAAGTTTGTGGCATAGACAGATTGGATTTTTCTTTGTAGTTTTTCTGCAAACTCTTCAAAACAAGTGTGCCCCAGTTCATCAGCTTTCGGAAAACAGGTGAGATCATTTCCCATGTTTTCCAGCGTTGAACGTGCATTCCGCATATTTTTTTGAAAAATGTTGTTTTTACCGTGTCTGTGGCTCTGGACCTGTGGCTGTATACCTGGTTCTATCAATATAGGGGCAGCTCTCGAATCGCGAACGGTCGATCGGTCGCGACCATGGAAAGCAACCTCAGCTTTTCCAGGCACACTTGAGCCAAAATGGCTACGCTCACAGTTCGATCGGAGATGTCTCTTTCGACATGTCTATTTCCGATGATGCAATTGTTTACATTACGATTCCCTAGCACAGGATTGACATCCAAAAGTGCTTTAACTGAATCCCTGCGTGCGTGACTTCAGGCCCTTCACTTCATGTCAGTACACAATGCCCAGGCTATGGTTCTAGACGAGGGATTTCTTCTGATAGTTCATTATACGTCAACCCAATCAGATCACAGCGGTTAATGTGCAGGTCTATATACTCGTAAACAGTTTGAGCAAGGACACATCCAACAAAAATCCTCTGAAGAAGGCAGAATATGAAAGAACGGGAACAAGAAGGATTAGAATTGGATAAACACACCGGTGTTTGCCTAAGGATCCTAAGGTCACACAATTTTTGTACCCGAACACCGAATAAAACCACGAGTTTGCCCGGCAAATCAATCTCAATTTTGGCTCCAACGCGCCGTCCTCTTCCAACAGAACGGGACAAGAGTTTGAGCAGTTCCCACATTTCAAAAACGTTTACGCGCATTTTCTTACTTTGTCTGCATGTGAGATATCGACACTGTTTAACGCAAGCTACATGCATCCACATGCACTTGTTTGTGTCCGATGATGTTTTCACAACTCTGGAGGAATTATGAGACCGTGTTGAATGCTTTCCACTTTTGCACTCCGGCGCATATTCCGCATTCCAGTCATGGGAGCGCATGTTTGGGCTGTCTACTCTGTTCCCTCCAATTCACACCACACGTCACCAAGCCGAGATTCTCGACCCAAGGGTGAGCACAAATTGGCAAACCGGACTTGGACTCATTGCGATGTTAAACCAGAGCATTGGACAGGTTTGCCCTAGACAAAGGTGACCCTCTCTTTCAAGTGGGAGCACCCCAAGTGTTCCTTGAAGAGAGTGGGCGCTACCCTGCCCTCCCCCTCGAAGAAAAGCGGTGACACTTCGAATGTGGAAGAAAAAGTAAAGGATGGTTCTGGGATTTTGGGGCTTGGTTGCTGCTATGTTGCGTCTTAGGATTTTGTTGAAGTTCAACACGATTTCCTTGCCGTTGATGTTTTATGTGGTGTTGGTCCTGGGGATAAATTCGTCAACTAATTCACTCTCGTCAGCGAGATTGGAGATTCAGAGACCAGATTCGTTCTGGCCAGATTCGGTTCCCACGAAAGGGTCCAAAAGCATCGAATCCGGTCTGTCAGAGATAGATCGACGCTCCTGAATGAGGATGCCTGCAAGAGAGCTGGTAGCCAAGCCGCCCGGCCAGTTCCCGACAAAGAGCCCCCTTAGCGTCGCGAGGTGTGGGAGAATGTCCGGCGCCGAATCTTTGAAGGGGCAAAAAACCCACGGTCCAAAAAGCGGTGGGCCTAGCCGCACTGGGACCTAAGGCCTGGGCACTGGATACGCCTCGCCACTTGGGTTGACCTCAAAGCTTCTGGCAAAGCTGTGAAAGTCTACGAGCCAGACGACTTGGCGGCCTTTATTGCCTTTCTTTAGGCCATCTGGAGGCCATCGCTCTTGGGCTAGAGGCCATCGCTCTTAGGTTGGAGGTCGCTATTAGGTTGGAGGCCATGGCTTTTAGGTTGGAGGCCATCGCTATCAGGTTGGAGTGGAGGCCATCGCTCTTCGGTTGGGAGGCCATCACTAGTAGGTTGGAGGCCATCTGGAGGCCCTCCGCTCTTAGGTTGGAGGCCATGGCCGCTCTTAGGTTGGAGGCCGTCGCTTAGGTTAGAGGCCATCGCTCTTGGGATCGAAGCCATCGCTATTAGGTTGGAGGCCATTCCGACGGAGTGTTCGATTCCGCACACCCGCGGCCCGAATGGGTGAGTTCTGCGAACGCTTGCTCAAGGAAATCGATCGCTGCACGTGTGAATTTCTCTTGGTGTCTTTCAAACCGCTTGTTGATCTCCGGAAATCTTTGACAAGTTGGATCACTTGCTGACCGATAAGCCTCTGCGACAATCGCATGATTTCTGCCATGTCACCAGATTCTTCAATGCTGCTGGCTCCGTTCCGTTGGCCAAACATGTTGCGGCCACTTGGAGAGGCTGCAAACAGCCTGAGCAGCCAAATGTTACTGGAATGAGTTTTCGGCTCTCGAATCTTTGGCTCTACAACTCTCCAAGTGACCCAAAGCCAAGAGGGTAGCTACTAAGCTGCGCATGGCTGAGCACCTGATGCTCAAGGTGCTTAGTTGCCGCACAACTTCGAAGGAAGCAAAGCTGGACTTTGTGCTGAAAGCTGCAGGTAAAAGCTGCAGGTAAACGGAATGAACAAGGACTCAAACACCTGCTGTTCCAGGTGAGAACAACCACTAAGAATATACTGATATACTATAGACTGTACTTATGACATCTGTGTCTGTCAGGCATCCGTACCTGCAAGAAACAAATCTGAACAAACTGTGGCAGATTGAAGAACGGTCTACTGAAGTTCAATCAATACACTAGTTACATCCAGTTATACTAGTCTTTACAATGAAAGATCTCCAACTCCCATGAAGACTTGAAATCTGAATTGTTCCAGCCATTCCGTGCGCAAAATCACAGCTATAAATACCAAAAAAGTTAAGCCTAATCGGCTAGACAACATAGTTCTCGCAGGACACGCCCTTTTGCGCCAGATTTTGTTCGACAATCGCAGATTTGGACTTGGTCCAAGATAGCGATGGAAAATGCAGTGCGAAATGGGACCTAGGACGATTCAAGAGGCTCCAACCAATGGGTCCGGTAGCCACGCCACCATACGGTCCACAAAGAACAAGGCCAAAATGTGCCCAGAAAGGTGAGCAATGGGGGCCACGAGGCCACTTCTGCGGTGCGCCACCCTACCCTTCAAGCAAGGGTCACGTGAAGTCATGTGGCAGCGCACTGCAAGGGTCAAATCGGTTCTAGCAGCCCACAGAAAGCATCCCATTTGTTTCATAACGGTATCGGTCGTTGCCTTTGACACTGTCTCGAAATGTGTTTGAGACGTGCGTAAAAAAAGTGTATATATACATATAGCTTGCCTGGCGGTTGGACCTTCTTTTTGTCTCACCTGAACTTAAATGAGGCCTCAATGCTGGCCTGCTCAGTAAAGTCGTTGCTTTGCGACTTCCGCCAAAATGCGCAGCCTCAGCAGGAATTTGTGACTTCACCCAGGATTTGAGGTTCACAACTAATGGTTAGGTACTTATCAGCCACGCCTTTGTGGCGGTGTCCGACGGCTGGCTGTGTTTAGCAAGAGAGTGCGTCGGCGATGCGCGCGTTTGGGGGCAGGCTTGGGCGGGCGCCGCTTGGAGGGGCTTGGGCGCTCTGGCACCCTGCAGTGCTGCGCCGCTGCAGGGCGCTGCTGCTGGCAGGATCTTTCAGAGGCATGAACCTAAATTGTCACGCAGCCAATGATTGCACTCTGGATTGCGCCCCAAAGGTCACAGGATTCATACTGTATCCTGTCCACACAGCACTCAGTTTTGCAAGGGCATCCTCCGAGGCATTCTTACTCCAGAACTTGCTTCGCAGTCTCCTTCAAAGTGTGTGTGTGTGTTCCTCACCCACAAGCATTTTGAATTGAGTTTCATTGTGAAAGATGGGCGCACATGGGCTCATCATCAACTCTTTGCTGAATAGGCAATGCCAAGCCTACCACTTTTTGCGCAGCAAACCTTGAACCTATCCAACTCAACCCACTCAGCCCAATTAGACAGTGAACTTGCAAAGACCATTGTGTCTGCTTGCAAGAACATCACAAGCCAAATTAATTATGGCCAGTTGGCATCAGATTGCTGCACCGGCCGGCCCGTTGCTTCCTTTTTTCAGGTTGCAGTGATGGCCACCAACATGCCCAGCCCTTCTCCAAAGATCACTGACGGAATGCGAGTCTTGCAACCAAGACAGAGACTTGAGATTTTGCCCAAACGCAAGCATGGGAGTGAAGCCAAGGAGTACACCATGGTTGAAGTGAAAGACATGTTGCGGGGAAGAGTTTGCGCAAGCTGGTCTTATATACTATCATCTCCCGCGTCTCAAAGGAAAGCTCCAAAGCTAAGTCAGAGCCTGTGGTGGCATCATATACTCATTGAACCCTATGTTCTACATTATGAACGCCATGGGCATCAAGGTTGATAATGTTGGGTTTGCGCGCGTGTGAAAGATGATGGCCAAACAGCTTACTTTCAAAGGATGGATGTGATTGCACAGCGCGGATGGGAGGCACCTGCATCGACTAGATCCTGTTGGATCAGACGGATCGGACTCTAAGGTGTCCTGTCCGCCGGCACCTGACGCACTGACGTACTGGAGGGATTTGGCTGCCACAGACTTGACTCCAAGTGCCTTTCTGCGCAAGGGCTAGCTTTCAGCTTTCTTCCGTGGGGATTCTGCCATGGATCTGGGGGGGCACCTAAAATCCGCCCACACCGCTTGTCGGTGCAGGGCGTGCTATTGGGGCTCTTGAGCTCTGCCGCCTATGCAAATAGCTCTGCTAGGGGGGTGTTTTTTGTTCGCGCGCGCGGCTATGGTTGGGCTGCAGGGCCACTGGGGAGAGCGTTTTGGATGATGTTTCGTTACGTCGTGCCTGCAGAGCCACATGGGAGAGCGCTTTGGAGGAGTTTTTGTGTTTTGGGGTGGTTGCTGCGTTGATTCTTGGTTGGACTGCAGGGCCACTGGGGAGAGCGTTTTGGAGGTTTATTTTGGCTGGCTTTTGGCAACGCCGAAGTTGTATCACCGTTATGGGCCCCAAGGTAGACGAAGTCAGCCCCAAGATGGCTCCAACGCAGCCGTAAGACAGCCGCGCCTAGATGGCTGCACTTGTCCCCCATTTGGAGCCAAAATAGTTCGCAAACATCGCTTTGGAGGTGTATTTAGGATGGCTTTGGCAAGGCCGAAATTATATCACCATTATGGGCCCCAAGGTAGACGAAGTTGGCAACAACGCTGCCAAAGAAAGACACTGGCTCTTTCTTCCTGTGCAGGATGGTCAAAGTTTGGGTATCCATCCCACAGCACTCTGGCATCTCAGCATCAGGTTCTTCTTGAGTGTAGTACCTGTTGCAATGCTCCACAAGCGGATCTCAACGGCCACCAATTCAAGTTCCACATGAGTTGGCCATCTACGAAATTCTTGGTCTCGCAGCAGAACTTCATGGGGTCGCCGTCCTTTGTTGTCCGCCATGCTCGAAGTCCATCATCATTCAACTTCAACACCACTCGGACCACCAACACCTCATCGTCATCAAGGGACTTCGAAGCTCCACCTCCACAAAGTTCTCCTGGTTCTTGGCAAACCCTACTGATCGTTCCGTAGAGGGCCAATGAATTCCTCTTGAAATGTAGTGGAACTGAACAAGCACCGTCGGGAGCTTGTAGATGGACACCTGCCTCTCCAGATCCTGGCATCAGCTTCCATCCTCGTTGCAACAGTCGTCCCAAGCTGATCAGAGGACATTGGACCGAAGCAACCACAAAGTCGTCCTCGATGACCACCGTCTCCTGATCACCATCACACTCAATTTGGGCCAGCTTCTTGCCATAGGTCATGAGGCGTCCACCTTGTGCATCCTCTAGCACTGCTCTTCCTGAACCGTTCGATCCGCCACAGCTAGCCATCGACTGAGGAAGTAAACTTATGTCTGCTCCTGAGTCCAAAACAATGAGAGTTCTCTGACTGCTCTCACTCACCGTGCAGATTTGAAACTTCTCCACCTTCTTTAGATCCTCTTCTTGGATGGCATAGCGAACCACCTTAACATTCTGCAACCACCGGGCAGTTCGGTCCAGGGAACATGGTGACCTCTCAAAGTCAGACTCATCTCCAAGAACAAAGTGCACTGTGTTGACCTGGTAGTTGTCGTCATAGATCCAGCTTTCGCCACCTTCACTCTTCAGATCAAACAGCATAGGTGAGTTCTCAAATGGTACATTCTCACCTGGCGAACTTGTGGTTGATTGCTGTGAGCTGAGGTTGAAGCTGAAGCCACTGACATCTTTCCACCAGCACTGCTATAGCAATGTCGCTCTCAACTGTCGCGCTGGCAGTTGCATGGCTCTGGTTGGTGACTGTCTGGGCTCTGTGCTTGTTGGGACATTCGCTACCCCAGTGACCGGACTGGCCACAGATGCGACAGGTGTTTCTGTCTTGTCCACTGCCTTTGCCCTTTCCATTGCCACCAAATTTGCTCTTGCCTTTCTTGCCACCTTTCTTCCCTTTGCCTTTCTTTCCCTTTCCTTGGAAGCTTTTGCCACCTTGTTTGCCGCCATAGCCGAAGGGAAACCATCCACCACCTTTCTTGTCCTTTCCCTTGTACTTACCCTTCTGTTTGCCTTTGATCTGGCCGACTTGATCAACCTCCATGGGAACTGGTCCTCCTGAGCTCTGCGCCATCGAGTTCTGAACCATCTTGAGGTAGGAGTCTCCACTCCAGGCACGAACATTCTTATCGAGCAGTACCAGCTTGTCCTTGAGCTTCTCATAGTCCACCGTGTCATCCATCGTCATCTCGAGATGCCGGCGAAGACCTGGTTCAAGGCACCTCAAAACTGTGGACACAACTAAATCGTCTGGCATTGCGTGTCCAGACGATAGTCTGTACTGCTCGAGGAGCAAGTCCAGTTGGAGGAGATTTTCAAGCATCCCTTTCTCACGCGGAAAGGAGGGAAGATTCATTATTGCTTGTCCGATTGCCATGCTCCGTGGTCTTGCCTTCGGCTGGTACAAATTCTTCAGGTTTTGCAACACTAAAAACCCGTTCTTCTCACCAGCCTCTGCCCTGACAAGCTGAAGAGCAGGACCTCGAATGTACGAGGCCAAAATTGAGTAAAGTCGGTGGGCCATCTCTTTTACCTCATCTGATGCAAAGTCAGAAAGCTGGCATGGCTCGTTGAGGTTCTCCACATCACGAAGCAGCTCTGCAAAGCGATGGTCTCCATAAACGAGCCAATTTGTGAACTGCTCCTTCCATGACACATACTTTAGAGGGTCGTCTCCTTCAAGAACATCTGGAGCTTTCAGCACTTTGCTGGCCTCACCGAAGTTGCTGCTGTCCTTCTTCCTGCCTTCAAATCTCTCCATCATGGCAGA